TTGGGGGGGGCGGCTATCCTAATCCCACCACAGGAGAGGCCAATTCCTCCCGGTGGGAACACAAAACAGGAGGCCACAAAGCCAAGCTTAAAACAGAAGGGAACAAACAAGCTTTAAATCTTAAACCAACACAGGCAAGAAAACACTGTGAAGGCATTACAGGACACACAGGCTCCGTAAAAAAAAAACCGGGAACACGACACTCCGTTTAAATTTCAACCTTCAAAGAATAGCCGGACTATTAAATCAGAAAAGATTGAATTAAATAGAGAAAAACAATGATTTTCATTGTCGTTAAATTTAACTGTAGATTTGCAGTCTTAATCACAGCTACCCATAATTGTGAATTTGTTAGTTGTTTTTTTTTTTAAACAAGGACATGTCAGGACTGTCTTTACAATTAAAAGCCAACTTTGTCTGACCGCAGTTAAAACAAGAATACATAAACTTGACCTCTTTTTTAACACAGCGCTTGCAACTGCATAAGATCACGTGAGTGCGCAGGACACATTAAACAAAAACATTCTCAATTGGTAGGAAATTTTTTTTTTCCAGGTGCGAGCCGAAGCCTACTCTTTGATCGATTTTAGACCACTAAGGGACCTTTAAACGAGCGCAATTTGCACACAGGACCTCACTCCAAGATTTTTTTCTCCCTTGTCCTAGGTGTAGTGTAGATCTTTCCTACAAGAAGATCAGGGGTGTTGGCTGAAAGACAACAGTAAGAAGGGTTGAAACTTATCTCCTAAACGACCTAAATAATGTCGGTGGGGGCATTAAACTTCTTGGCTAATTTATCACTCAATGACCAATGTCATGCTCATACTGTGCCGGAACAACATAGGGGGAACTGCTGCTTTTTCTTTCCTCATCCTTCTATCATAGTTAACTATCGTCATTTTTTCTCTACTTCTCTCGTCTCTTGTGAACTGCTATTTCCGGGGTGCCTTGATAGTCGACGCAGACTTTGTGCTGTCGAGGCTGAGGCTAGAGAGGTGAGCAGAGTAAGCCTGATTCCCCGTTTGGACTTCTGTGTTAACATCCATCCCTTGGCGTTCATATGACCTTATGCAGTTGTGAGCATCGTAAAACTTTAAGTAAAACTAAATCACCATGGCCACCATTGGTCAGATTCCAACAATATAAACTATCTAGGGCCTAAAATAAATCTAATTTCATTTTTTTAAAAGTGTAAACAGTTATTGATGCGATAGACTATAAAATCTATCTAATTTTATAATCCGACTAAGAATAATGCCGACAATGAAATAATATGAACATGGCCGGCTTGATTATTGATCTGATAAATAACCATTTCAAAGCAAAGTTGGGTATTTATCTTTCTCCACTGGAAAGATTAAACATGTGTATATATCTAGATCTAGAATCTAGATGTATAGGCTACACACAATGGGCTACAGAATCACAGATCTAGACTAAGATCTATCAGTCAGTATGATGTCATCATGTTAATGAGGGGGGCATTTCTATCACTAGGCCTATCACTATCAGTACTTCTCCCCCCCCCCCCCTTTTGCCTCTATTCAGGATCCTACATGACAGTAGCCTGCTACTCCGCTTCCACCAACATTTTGTTTGATATTTGAATGCAAAATTAGATCTAGATCTAGATCTAGATCTAGATCTAGATCTAGCATCTAATCTAAATGCGAATAGCCAGGGTTTGAAAACTTATTTTATTCTGCGTCTGATTTACCAGACAACACTGAACTGTCTGAACAGATAATCTTGATTGGAGTAGTGAGTAGCCTTTAGATTTATAATCTTAATCTAGATCTAATCTAGATCTAGATTATATATCTAATTTAGATTTGTGAACATGTTTATGACTACCGTAGGGCCACACCCATCTTGAATAGAAAAGGTCTCGGCTCTATCGATTCAGGTTGTATTTGACAGGGGACAGCACTCCGTCAATTCTCAATGTCGCATTTATTCCTTCTCATTCATAACCAATCCCTTCCTCGCCCCTCCCACACACTGTGTTTTCTTCCTATTTTCAAATGTGTAATCTCGGTTGAGACGAATTTTCAGGGCGTTATTCACACAACAGTGCTGCTCTGGCTTACAAGATCAAGATGACAGATTGTAAATATAGTGAGAGACACCCTCGTAACTCCCAACACGTAGATCCAGCCCTTCAAGTGGAGGACTGTGTAGATCTATTTATTGTGCGTAGCAGCACACAGGCTGCCGAGAACAAGTGGTGAGAGAAGCATAGAAGAGTAGGCAAGTCGATCCAGCGACCGAGTCAACGTCGAGGGGGGAAACAATTACATTCACTCACCTTGTCCAGGCATTTTAACTCCTCTGTGGGGTACACAGTCTTCGAGCACTTGGCACACTTTTTATTCATTGTGGAATTATCCTCTGCGAAGTCCCCGGTGCCTGCTACACTTCAAATAATCCCAAGAAACACACACTAATAATAGCTTGGGAGTTTTCAAATCAACAAATGCCGATTTTTGGTCACGGAAATGGATTGAGGCGGCAGCAACACAGCTTACCCAGAGCACTCCCGTAAATTCTTAGAGCCGTGTGCAAAACCTAAAATAGGCTGCACACGAACCACTTTCGATTTCCGTTGCGTTACATGTAACCAAGGAAGTTATAGCCATAGAGGCTGCTCCGTGGGCGGCAAACCGGGCAAACCGGGCAAACCACGCCTGATAGAAGCCCTCTCTCACCGCGGAACTATGGTCAACCTTCGGCGCGCTTTGCCTGACTCTCGCACTATATGAAAGCTTCATAGGCCTTAGTAAGAAAGCTTTATTCTAAGGTCCTTGAGATTAGCACAAAAACCCCCTCAAAACAACAACAACAAAAACAAAAAACAAAAAAACACCCTCCCACCTTTGTTGTGTTTAAATGTTAGACCGAGATACGTGATTTAAAAAATAAAATAAAATAAAAAAGTAAGCTATGGGTAGATCACCTTCCATTGTGTCTGACTAGATCTATTATTAAATGCTATGCAAAACTGTTGGGACAAGATATAGAGTCTAGTTATCTACATCGAGGAGCTTTGATCTACATGTATCCATCTTGCCTTCATGTTTATCATACACTCCTATAGTATAAGCTTATTGAGTTCAATCAGTCAATTGTCAATCAGACTTATTCTATGTTCTTTAATTCATTCTTCTCTTTAGGCCTACCATTACTATGACTGTTGCCGAGATGTAGATATCTAAAGAGTGGGTGGTCGGCGGGTGCTCTGGTGTGGTTTGCTCCTTCCTTCTCATCAAACATCAATCGTCCTGAGCTCTCCTCTTTCTGTTTTGTGGTTGTTACTCTCGTGTAACACCTCTTATATTTGGCTCTTATAATAAAGACGATCTTATTGTGTTGCAAATGTCGTAAAACTCTTACTTAAAAAATAACCCCCCCCCCCCCATCTAGATATATATAGAGGCTCCATAAAAAAAAGAAACCAATACATGACAAACTTTCAGTACGATAATATCTTACCGCTACGTCCCCTGCCTGTTTTATAATCTTCTCTATCTGGGCAGGACACAATTTTTGTTTGTTTGGTTGTTTGTTGTTGTTGTTGTTGTTGTTGTTGTTGTTGTTGTTGTTGTTGTTGTTGCTGTTCTTTTTTGTGTGGGTTTTGTTTCTTATTTTGTCCACCACTCACCTCCCCCCCTCACCCCCAATCCCCTATCCCACCACCTTTCTTGATGTTTAAACCTCTGTCTTAATCCACTGTGTTGCATGCCTAGACAACATGGGGGCCAAAAGTCGAAGTTCTTAAATAAATAATCCGTTATATCGGGCAACTTCTCTCTTTCTCTCCCCCCTCCCCCCTCTCTCTCTCTCTCTCTCTCTCTCTCTCTCTCTCTCTCTCTCTCTCTCTCCCC